AGAATGACCCGGATAAGCCTTGTTGGAGCGTGTTTCCTTCCAATTTACATGACTATAGGAGAAGTGAAATCCTCAGAAAAATGTGTTTACTCCCAGTATCTCAGAATTTTCTCCTCCCATTTCTTCGCTGACGACTCTGATTGTGAAAATCCGTACAAAGCAAGGGGGAACGTTAAAGCAACAAAACCTGAACGAATGCTGAAACTGTCGTGCCTTCGTTCCGAGGCAATTTGGATAATTCAGAATGCTCGTCACGTAGTCCTCAGCACCGAACATCTGTAAAATGTGACAATCAGTCGCTTCGTTACAAAACTACCTAGGAATTACTCGACTTGTTGAGATCGACCTTATATCCAGCTTTCTTGTACATGAGTGGTACGTAGGATTCATTATCGAGATAACGTCTGCAGTACTGGTCGTATGTCAAATCAGCTGGTATTGTGGGCAAGTTCATTGGCTTTCTTACTATCGCTTCCGTGGTTTTTCCTAGGCTAGAAGCGATTATTTGAGTGAACTGGTCATAAACGTAGAGGTATTGCCAAATGGTCTGTTTGTGCACTCGCAATTCACTTGTTCTCATAATTTTGCAAGGCTTTTCTAAAATTAGTTTTGTAGACCGGCCAGTTCGGTAGCTTTTGCATCCACTAGTTCCCCTACACTTCTCAATCCTTTGCCGTACTGATACTACTTGATTTCAACTCCACTTTGAGCCATTATGGAGTTTGTTTTCTGATGCTGAATATGCAGTTGGAAACGGTATTTCACTACAGATAACGCGTCCTAGATTGGAAAAATTGGCACTATTGAACTATTCCTACCCCAAAAACTCAAAAAAATTTTTTCGCTGAAACGTTGCCTATAGATGTAATTCGATGCGCTGATCACGAATATCACATCCGTTTCGAGCGCTGGCGTCATTTGGCGCCATTATGCGCCAATTTGGCGCCCACCACTTTTTTCACCAAAGTCGATGAAAACTTGCATATGGGGTTAATCGACATCCTGATTACGAATATCACACTGGTTTTGAGCGCTGGCGCCATTTGGCGCCATTATGCGTTAATATGGCGCCAAATTGGCGCGTAATGGCGCCAAATGGCGCCGGCGCCAAAAATAAATGTTGGATTCGTAATCAGGACCTCAATTAACCCCCATATGCAAGTTTTCATCAACTTTGGTGAAAAAAGTGGTGGGCGCAAATTGGCGCCAAATGACGTCCAGCGCTTGAGACAAATGTGATGAAAACTTGCATATGGGGGTTAATTGAGGTCCTGATTACGAATCCAACATTTATTTTCGGCGCCCGCGCCCCTTTGCGCCCCTCTGCCCCACCTTGGCGGCACCTTTTATCCTCATA